CACGAGTAGGGGAGAGGCAGAGAGAGGGAGACACAGAATCCGAAGCAGGCTCTAGGCTCTAAGCTGTCAGCACAGAACCCGATGCGGGGCTTGAACCCACAAACTGTGAGATCATGACCTGAGCCAAAGTCAGATGGATGCTTAACTGACTGAGCCACCCCAGCACCCCCAAACAATGATTAGTCTTTCTGGCAATTCCACACATTGGCCGGGCAGCTGTCTGCTCCCAGGTGACCTCGCTCCTGGGTCCGAGGCTGCTGGGAGAGCCTGGCCTCTGTCTGCTTGGTCTCACATCCCCTGGGAGCCCGGGCACGTTCACATGGCCACTCAGTTCTGAAGCAGCAGCTCAGACGCACCTGCACTCTTCAGGCCTCGGCTCGCGTCCTGTTGGCCAACGTCCCATTGGCCAAAGTGAGCCATGAGACGAGGCCCAGCTTTACAGGATGGAGAAGTAGCCTCCACTTCTAGAAAAGAGCAAGAGAGACATTGCAGACAGGCATGCACACCGGGGTGGGAGAAACCTGTGGCTCACTTTGCAGGCTACCACACCTTTCCCTGATGACGGGTTTTGGTTTTACTAACAGTTCCCCCAGGTTTTGAAATTTTGAAATTCATGTCATTGTCATAGGTAAGATTACACGTAGCCACCGAGTGATGTATGGAAGGCTTGAATCACTGTATCGTACCCCGGAAACTGATACTACACTGTGTGTTAATTAACTGGAATTTAAATACAAGCTTTACAAAAAAGGGGGGCGCCTGGGTGACTCAGTCGCTTAAGTGTCTGACTTCGGCTCAGGCCATGATCTCGCGGTTCGTGAGTTCGAGCCCCGTGTCGGGCTCTGTGCTGACAGCTCAGAGCCTGGAGCCTGTTTCAGATTCTGTGTCTCCCCCTCTCTGCCCCTCCCCGCTCACTCTCTGTCTCTGTCTCTCAAAAATGAGTAAATGTCAAAAAAATTAAGAAAAAAAAACCTTAAAAAGGTGACATGTGCAAATGCACATCCCATTGGAGAAGAATATTTTACCGTATTTTGCATAAACGCACGTATGTACGAAGCCTCCTTGAAAAGGAAAATGTTCCCAAACTGGGAACCAGACCTTCTTCTTCCCTTCTTTCCCTCCCTCCCTCCTTCTGTTCCTTTCTACACCCTTCTCTCCTTCCTTCCTTCTTTCCTTTTATATTGATTTTATAGTGTTTTGGTTCTGTTACTTGTATTGTTATACGGGAAAGCCGACTGTTCGGTGTGTGAGCCCCACGTTGTTTTGCTGGCGATCACGTTGCCCTGTTCATTGAGGCAGAGCCTGGAACCGTCCCAGCCGGTCCTAGTTCTCTGTGGCCTAACACGCGATTTTATGATTTTCATTGCTTCCAAAGGCACGGCACTGAGAGCGACGGCTGTGTCAGTCAAGAAGGAGTCAGAAGATCCTAATTACTATCCGTATAATACGCAAGGTAATCCCATTTTATTTTCATTTCCTTCCCCAAATGTTGTTTGTGACGGGAAGTTTTTTTGTCGTATTTTTAAAAATTAATTTGTTGTGAGAGAGAGGGAGATAGAGAATCCCAAGCCGACTCCACACTGTCCGCGCAGAGCCGGACGCGGGGCTTGAACTCGCAAACCACGAGATTGCGACCTGAGCCGAAATCGAAGAGTCGGACGCTCCACCGGCTGAGCCACCCAGGCGCCCCCGAGATGAGAAATTTTAATTAGCCCCCATCTGGAAAACAGGCTGAAGCAATACGTTTACTGGGATGTAGCATACTGCCATTTAAAGTAAAGCATTTTACGGTTAGGAAATAGATCCGTGTTCAGCCTAAATCCGCGTGCTTCGAGGCAAACGTGAAGACAGAGGTATCCTGGTGCGTTTTACTTGAGCTTGTCTGTTAAGTATTCTTATTTTGCATGTTCTAAAGTATGTCCCCCTAATCCTTTGCTGTCCTGTCTGTCCCCTAAGTTACTGAGAAAATACCGAAAGATCAAGACATTCAGGTACCCCGTTCTTAATAATATTTGGTTCATTGATGTCATACAAGTTAAACGGCGGACTCACACTCACAAGTTAAACAAGACTCACACTCTGTCTCTCTCTCTCTCTCTTTCTCAAAAATAAATAAACATTAAAAAAAATTTTTTTAATTTTTTTTTTTAAATTTTTTTTTTTTCAACGTTTATTTATTTTTGGGACAGAGAGAGACAGAGCATGAACGGGGGAGGGGCAGGGAGAGAGGGAGACACAGAATCGGAAACCGGCTCCAGGCTCTGAGCCATCAGCCCAGAGCCTGACGCGGGGCTCGAACTCACGGACTGTGAGATCGTGACCTGGCTGAAGTCGGACGCTTAACCGACTGCGCCACCCAGGCGCCCCTAAAAAAAATTTTTTTTAAGTAAAATACTTAAGGGGCGCCTGGGTGGCTCAGTCAGTTAAGCAGCCAACTTTGGCTCAAGTCATGATCTCATAGTTTGTGGGTTCGAGCCCCGTGTCGGGCTCTTTGCTGACAGCCCAGAGCCTGGAGGAGCCTGCTTCAGATTCTCTGTCTCCCTCTCTCTCTGCCCCTCCCCCACTTGCATGCTGTCTCTCAAAAATAAATAAACATTAAAAAAATTTTAATACTTAAGAAAAAATTTAACCAAAGAATTGCAAGACTTGTACACTGAAAACTATAAAACGTTGTTTAAAAAATTAAAGGAGATCTAAATAAACGGAAAGATATTCTGCGTTCATGGACTGGAAGACTTCCTTAAGATTGTTATGGAAATTCAAGGAACCCGGAATAGCCAAAACAATCTTGAAAAAGAACCGAGTCAGAAGACCCACATTTCCCGATTTCAAAACGTACTGCAAAAGCTACAGTTATCGACTGTGGTCCTGGCATAAGGTTAGACAGTGGATATTCAGTGGAATAGACTTGAGAGTGCAGAAATAAACCCCTATCTTTATAGCTACTTCATTTTCTTTTTTTTTATAAAATTTTTTTTTTCAACGTTTATTTATTTTTGGGACAAAGAGAGACAGAGCATGAACGGGGGAGGGGCAGAGAGAGAGGGAGACACAGAATCGGAAACAGGCTCCAGGCTCTGAGCCATCTGCCCAGAGCCTGACGCACTCACGGACCGCAAGATCGTGACCTGGCTGAAGTCGGACGCTTAACCGACTGCGCCACCCAGGCGCCCTGAAGCTACTTGATTTTCAACAAGGGTGCCAAAACAATTCACTGGGGAAAGAATAGTCTTTTCCAAAAAATGGTACTAGAATAACCAGATTTCTACATACAGAAAGATCCATTGGGACCTCTACCTCACACCATATACAAAAACTAAGTCAAAATGGATCAAAGACCTAAATGTAAGAGTTAAAAATTCTCGTGCACTTAGAACTCCTAGACGCAGATGGTTGTGACCTTGGATTAGATAATGGTTTCTTAGCTAGAGCAGCCAAAGGAAAAAAATAAATTAAACCTCGTTAAAATTAGAAACGTGTACTTCAAAGAACTCTATCAAAAAAGGAAAAAGGCCACCAATGGAATTAGAGGAAATGTTTGCAAGTTATATATCGGATGAGGATTTCATATCCAGAATAAGAACTGTTTTAACTGAACGACGAAAATGCAAATTATGCTATTTAAAATGGAAAACGGGGTGCTGGCTGGCTCAGTCAGTGGAGCATGTGACTCTTGATCACGGGCTTCTGAGTTCAAGCCTCACCCTGGGTGTAGAGATTACTTAAAAATAAACTCTTTAGGGGTGCCTAGTTGGCTCAGTCAGTTAAGCGTCTGACTTTGGCTCAGGTCACGTTCTCATGGTGCGCGAATTCGAGCCCCACGTGGGGCTCAGACCCTGGAGCGTGCTTCAGATTCTGTGCCTCCCTGTCTCCCTGCCCCTCCCCCGCTCATGCTCTGTCTCTCTCTCAAAACCATAAATATTTAAAAAAAAAGAAAAAAGGCTCTGAAGATCCCATAGTGAAAAAAGGGGGCACAGAAAAACAGGATATGGAGTTGGTGACTATTGGCACCAGGGGAGGGCACATGGTATTTTGTACCATCTCTGCTTCTGTAGGTTTGAAACTTCTCCAAATTGCAGGTAAGACCACAAAAGACGTAGAGAAAGGATCATTTGTGTGGATTTTATTTCAAGGAGTTGAAGTGTTTTTCATGTGCATTCCTGCATGGGTCTCGAACTGTTTGGATGGTTTTAAATGGATTCTTGTTTAGGGAAACCTGGGTGGCTCAGTAGGTTAAGCGTTCAGCTCTTGGTTTCGGCTTAGGTCATGATCTCACAGTTCGTGGGTTCCAGCCCCGTGCCAGGCTCTGTGCTGACAGTGCAGAGCCTGCTTGGGATTCTCTCTCCTCCTCTCTGCCCGTTACTCTTGCTGTCTCTGTGTCTCTGAAAATAAATAAATAACCTTAAAAAAATTCTTTTAAATAAAAAACATACATGGATTCTAGTTTACATTTTGCATTTTGCCCTTTTTAAATCTCTGTATCATTTGCTTCCCTTCCAGACAGCCATCATCCTTCTGGGAGCAGCGACGTAATAGACATGGAATTATCCCTGGAAGGTTAGAAAAGCCATTTTATGCTTTATTCTTTTTTTTTTTTTTTTGGTTTTGTTTTAGTCTACAGTGTTTTGCAAAGAACACAGTCTTTGAAACGCCCATGACGCATGTTTGAAACTAAGGCAGCTTCCTGGCATGCCTTCTTAGAAAACCAGATGAGTCTTAGCCCTAGAATGTGGCCCTGGGAATCTGTCAGTCTCTTCCTTCTCCGACCTGTAAGAGATTCTACGTAAAGCACCTGGAGTAGAGGTCGCGTGGTGAGAAAACTTCACATCTATGTCATTCGTTGCTTTATTCCATTTTCTCTTCTTCAATGGGTATACCAGAATTCTTTTTTTATTAATGTTTATTTATTTTTTGAGAGACAGAGCATGAGCAGGGGAGAGCAGAGAGAGAGGGAGACGCAGAATACGAAG